CAAAACCCCAAAACCCCAAAACCCCAAAACCCCAAAACCCCAAAACCCCTTGAGAACAAATCTCCCCACAAAAAAATGAATGTAAATCACTAATAAATACAGTTCTTTCTGATATTATCTATATATTCCCCTCCCTCTGTCAAAGTTAAAGAACTCATCCCCATGCTTCTTGCAGTGCATAATTAACTATTAGCATATTGCTGCTTTTGAAACACTAAAATGCATCAATAAGATTCTGACTAAAGTATAATGGTCAAACTTACTTCAAAAAGATCATTTATTCTTTCACTTGGTGACGGTGCGAACTAGGAGTTTATATATAGGAACTATATAGAAGTAATTTAGACTTGAAATAAAATTTATTATACCAATGAGTCAGTTGGCTGGATGACAGCACCATTCTAAAGCTACTTCTTCACAAATGAAATCAAGTGTTAAAAGGTATGCTATCTTTTTATTTTGAACCTGTTAGTCTTAAGCTTAGGAGCCTTTCCCACTGCATTCAACGATACCTCAATCGCCTCTTTAAAAATCAAGATTAATAACTTCCACCAAAATATTCATGAAATTACCATCTGTGTCCGTGATGAAACTTGGATCTGATTAAGTTTTTGAATGTTCCATTAAAAAATTGATAAAATATTATATTATACGAAAAAATTAATTTGATAGCATCTATTAAAATTTATTTAGGAATATAATTAAATTCCAAAGTTGCAAAATTTCTATGTATTAAAGTAATTTAAGGCCTTCCCAGGGGGATCGATTCATAAGTTCACGGTGTCTTAATGATGATGTCGCTGCCAAATTTGGGACAAAAGTTGAAATATTCTCAGTTGATAAGAATGATGAAGATAGCGATGGAAGGAGGAATGATACAATGATAAATGCTGCCTCCGCAAAAGATTCAAACTTGATTGAGGAAGAAAACAAAAAGATGTACACAGCATTATTGCAAAACCAGGTCCTTGGCATCGATAATCCATTCTTGCTCCACGAGATCCACAACGCCGACGAGAACCATACTAAGACCAATCTCTACACTCAGCAGTAAAGGATTACTCACCATGATGAGTAGCATCAAAGCGAGAGTGAAACGAAAAGGAATACCTTGTTGAGCGGATGCGGATTATCTAATGATTCTTCACCATTCAACTCAAAATTTACTGTCCTCAAATTTAACAACCCCCAATTACAATAAGGCAAATTCAACAATGGCCTAATGAGTTAAGACAGCTTTACCAATAGAGGCATCTTCTCAAACGCCTCGAATTACTCATTTAGCCAATCCTCAGATATTTTCTCGCAGGCATCATCAAATTATACAAATATGTCCGCGCTCTCAGAAAATATGAACCCCCTGATTAGTAGCAGTGCATTCAAGCATAATCCTATCTGCGGCTTTGATGAGGACTAAGTAATTGTTCCAAAAAAGAGATCCCGTAAGATCCCCAAGATACCTTTTAAAGTTCTAGATGCACCTGCTCTTTAAGATGACTTCTACTTAAATCTTGTAGATTGGTCTCCTTACAATAACTTGGCAGTGGGATTGTCAAATTGTGTATATATATGGTCTGCCAGTAGCAGTAAAGTAACGAAGCTCTATGACTTAGGTTAAAGAGATTCTGTAACATCAGTATGTTGGTCCAAAAGAGGACAACATTTATCAGTAGGGACGAATAGTGGAACGGTCCAAGTTTGGGACGTCCAAAAATGTAAACTACTTAGAGTCCTCAAAGGCCATGAAGGAAGAGTAGGTGCATTAGCCTGGAGTTCCAGTGTTTTGAGTTCTGGTTCCAAAGATAAAACTATCTTATAAAGAGACCTTCGTGAAAAAGATGACTACTTCGCTAATCTAATGTACCATAAATAGGAAGTCTGTGGATTAAAATGGTCCTACGATGAATAACAACTTGCTTCAGGAGGTAACGATAATAAACTGAATGTATGGTCTCTTCACAATCCAGTAGAACCTGCTGGAAAATTCAGCAGTCACTTAGCAGCAGTAAAGGCCATCTCATGGTCACCCCATTAACATGGCTTGCTAGCAAGTGGTGGAGGAACAGCTGATAGATGCATCAGATTCTGGAACACATAGTAAATGCTTGAAATAGATACCATAGAAACAGGTTCTTAAGTGTGCAATCTCCTTTTTAGTAAAAACTGTAATGAAATAGTATCAACACATGGATACTCAGATAATGCCATCGTCGTATGGAAATATCCATCAATGAAAAAAATTGCAACTTTAACAGGCCACAGTTACAGAGTTCTTTATCTGGCAATGAGTCCAGATGGAGAAAGCATAGTAACAGGAGCGGGTGATGAAACCCTCAGATTTTGGAAAGTTTTCCCACCTAATTAAACTAGTAGAGATAGAGAAATATCTTTAATAGATCCGACAAGTTTCAACATAAGATGAGTCGCCATCACAAGGGAATGGCAGTAATTCAATGTAATTTGCAAGTAAGCTAGTGTATTATTATAAGAGTTTGTTTTTCTGATACTTCATTCAAAATTAATATCTACACGCATATCATAAATATCTTTTATTTTGATGCTTGAAGGGGTTTTGGGGTTTTGGGGG